CCGCTGCCCCCCCCTCCCACGCGACTCTCCCGCACTCATCCACCATCAAGACAATCCCGTGGGACAGGCCTCGCAGGCACACACACACACACACACACACACACACACACACACACGCACGCACGCACGCACGCACGCACGTGAGCGCGCGCGCACACACGCACACGGAATATGCTGGGGGCTCTCAGAGGACCCAAGAACCTACCTAGCACAGTGCACACATATCAGACAGGAGGCACAAGCCAGAGGGCATGCTCACACTGGTATCCAGGTCTACATAGGTCACAGTGCACTCCTGCACTGTCACACTCCCTCACCCTGCTCTCCACCCAGGGCCTGAATAGCAGCTGCCTCCAACTATCTCTGCAGACCAGGATCACCAGAGATACAGGCACCTAGGCAAAGCTGCCATCAGATAGGGCAGGACACCCTGTCCTCTGTAGATCAGAAGGATGCCCCATCTTCTCTGCCACCTCGCACCTCTCCACCCTCCACCCCTGGGCCCTCACTCACCCCATCCCAGCACTCCGGCATCTTGCCGAGGGAGGGAATTCGCTGAGCCAGGAAGGGCAAAACAAAGGCCCGAGTCACTCTGTCTGGAGGGAAGGGGCAGCTTGGGTGGGAGACTTCAGCTCTGTGATGGGGCACAGCTCCCAGGCCATTTATACACAGATCCCAGCCCTGCCCAGGCTGGCCCCTCCTCCCCACAGGGTTTCTGAGCAGCCACTTGCTCACCCGGAGCTCTCTCTTCCAGATTGGCTGTTAGGAGACAAACTTGGCTCCAATTGGCTTCTGAAGTCCTCGTTCACCCTGACTCACTCCCGCTCCTCCCACCTCAGCAACACAGCATCCTGATGGTCCCCAGCCTCTGAAGCTCACTGGTGCTTAGCACTCAGGCACCTTCCATTAGCCACAGCTCTGGGGTTGACAGCAGCCAGGGCCATACACAGGCACCCCTGCATCACACACACAGAGGCCTCTCACAAATATGCACATCAATGCAGAGTTTAGGCTTGAGACGCGGGACATTCAGACCTGTCCCAGACAGGCAGAATCCTTGGCCCCATCACCTGGGAGCATGAAGAACCTGAGAAGGCTCTAGACCTCCCACTCTACCTACATGGATGCCCAGGGCTGACCACTGCACTGAAAGTAGGGACTGGGGGCCTTACGGGAGCAGGGCTGTCGTGGGGCCCTCCAAAGTGTCACCCTCTTGTAAGAGGCTAGGCTACCAGGGGGAGGGTAAGGGACAGGACTTGGCCTGTCCAAGTGACTTGCCTCCTACAAAAGCACCGAGCCCTCTCCAGAGAGAACAGGGCTCAGCTCCTAGTCTCTAGAGAGCAGTCCATACAAGCCACCCCAGGCTCCACAACCCATCCTCCTGGGCAGCAAGGCTCAGGGTGGCAAGCTGTCCCAAGGCACTCAGATAGAGCAGACAGAGGAGCGGGGAGCCAAGGAAAGTAGAGGAGAAGTAGGCCAGGGAGGTGGCAGAGTTGGGAGCCCCAGGGCTGAGAGAACAAGAGTGACAGGGAGCGTGGTGAGGGTTGGGTGCCTGTGCCCCCATTCTGTCTCCTTGGTGGAGGAAGGCATTGCTGGTCCCTGCTTGTGCTGACAGCCCTGCTGTGGGCCCCGGAGGAAAGTGCCTGGCGACCTGCTCTGTACCGGCCCTGTGCACTATTCCTAGTGACAGCCTCTGCCTGGGTTACCACAGCTTCCCACACCCCACCTCTGACCCTTCTCCAGGGCCACTCCCAGCAGGGATGTGCAACAGTGCCCTCCTGTACCTCGAATGTTCCTCATTCCTACAAGCATGTGACACAGAGAAATTTAACAACTGAGGCAGCTGCAGAGGCCAGTCCTGCCCTCAAACTCCTCCTGTGGGCCTAAGGAACAGGATGCTCTGTTCCAAGTGGGCTCTGCCCAATCCATGCCCATTCCTGCCTCTACCCGCTGAGGGCTCCTCCTGTCTCTAGACCCCAAGTGAGACACCGACCTGAGACTGACCCAACACTGCCCCCTCCAAGCCACTGTTTCTGCTCAGGTACCTGGCTGCAAACTGACAGACCTGGGGCCAAGTCTGCCCAGTCCCTTGCCTTGCTAGGTCCTGGGGTAAGGTTTTTAACTCCCTTTGCCTCTGAAGTCATGGAAGCCTAGGAGAGAGGACGAGGAACCTGAGGTACAGAAGCTGTCTTCCCACCCAGGTAAGAGGCAGTAGGGCTTACCTGCACCTCAACACACAAGGCCATTAAGAGGAGCAAACACTTGTCAGAATGTTGCCCCACACAGCAGACCCTATTCGAGGGCTTCATAACACATCATCTCATTTAGTACCCACGTTTTAGACCTGTGGCAAACTGCCCAATATTACACAGCTAGAAGGCACAGAACCAGAAGCCACACCCAGGCAGACTACTGTGATTCCATCCTCTGCTTGCCTCCCTATCACAGTCCCTGGAGGGTCTGAACACTGGGCTCCTGGGCACCACCCCCACCCCCTCACACGCACTGAGTTGTTTTTGTCACTGTACAAAAATGAGGCAGCTGAAAGGACAGCTCCTGCTGGAGGTCACAAGGCCTACCCCTGGCAGGGCGGGACCTGAGGCTGGGTGTCATGCATTTTCTGGTCTCTCTGCCTTGCCTCCTCACTTGCAGATGACCCTGAAGGGCACTGCCTGCCACTCTGAAGCTGGGGATGAAAGTTTCTGCCCGGCAGTGGCCCAGATAGATAACAGCCATCTTTGTGGCTTTTCTTTAAAAAAAGAAAGCAAGCTGCTTCTATATAGTGCTCCAGAGTGACAGGAAGCTGCCTTTAGAACATGCTGCCCTTCACAGGCAGAGGGTCTTGAGAACCAGGTTCCACCATGCACAGGTGCCCCAGACCAGTCTGCCCACACATCTCCACTCTCATTTGGGACACAGAACAGAGAATTCCCTGGCATGACTGCTCTAACTTCTGACTGTCCCTTCCAAACAGGCTGGTCCACCTCTGGGCCACATGCCTCCCATTCTCCTCAGAGGTTCCCATCAGCCCCCCCCCCCACTGCCAAGTTCTATCTTTTTCTCTCAGTTCAAAGGCCTGTCATCCCAGGGAATCTGGGCATGGGCACATGATCTGCCTACAGCCTCCCTTCGTGTCCTTGAAAAAGCACATGACCAAGGGACCAACATCACAGGCTCACATCTTCATTCTTGCTGGCCAGCTGCTTGCTAGGGGAGGAGCCACAAGGTGGACAGTCCCACCTCCTGCAAAGTCACCCTTCAGCTAGACCACAAGACTGTTCCCGTCACCGGGCATGGAGACTGACTCAAATCGAGGTCAGGTGGAAACAAGAGCAGTAGCCTCAGGGCGACTTCCACTCAGCTGAGGGAGTTTGAATTGGTTTATCATATTCGGATGCCCAGTGGAGTCTGGGAATCTGGCAAGGCCCTCCCCAGCCCATTTTGCTGTTAAGACATATTCTGATACCCTGAAATAAATGGTCACTATGGGACTCAGAGGGGAGAAACAACAACCAAGTAAGCAAAATCATCATACAGAGGAATAAAAACAAAGAGCAAGTTCAGTTTTCATGGAGAATCTGGCATCAAACTAAAGAGGACATGGTTGTCTAGGCAACAGCTGCTATGGAAACAGGAGGTATTTCAGACTCAACCTAGCTTTCACTGGAGGAAAATGCTGATTCAGATGACAGCATCCCTGGCTCCCTTCAGCACCCTCACTGCCTGAGGCATCTGCTCTCTTCCCAGCTGTCCTGTTCACAGAGGGTCCAACCCCTCCACTGGGCAGGGAGGTAGCTGCAGCAGAAATCAGGGGAGCTGCTGTATGCAGTGGGGGTCATCATGAGGTTGTAGGGTACTCCTCCCTGGTCACTAGTGACTGGGATACACAGAAAGGCTATGACCCTCCTCTGAGACCCGGCCCAGTGGGAAAGGGGTCTTGACAGCTGTGTGCCCCACATTTTAAGAGGCTAAGCCCGAACCTACCTTCCAATCTGTGTCCACAACTGAGAGGAAGGTGTCAGGGTTCTCCTAAGAAAAGCAAACAGAGAGGGACAAGTTAGCCTTAGCTGGCCAGAGGACCATGGGGATTCTGCCTGAGCAGACTTCTGATCCCCGGGCTATGTTCAGGCTAATGGAAGTAGCTCAGGGCTTAGTCAGTGCCAGGTTTTGATACAAGCTCATCAACTTACTGCCCAGAGATTCTTATAGGTAAGCAGGGGAGGCTCAGTGGGCTACATCATAGGCCAGAAGTCCAAGTCCTGGTTCTGGATCACTTTGTCCTTAGAGACATTTCTCATAGGCTGACCATCAAGGCACAAAGACAGAGGCAGGGAAAGGAGGGTTGCCATGGCTGTCACCCCCAGGGCAGGGAGGGCAAGGTAAGGCCCTACCCAGTGCTGTCAGGGACCATAGCACTGCCCACTTCACTCTCCCAGTCCTCTCAGATCTGTGCGATACTGGGCAGTGGCATCTTTGATTAATTCCTTTTCCCTGCCTCTGACCTCCAGATGGTGGGACCACATCTAACCATGCTCTCAAGCAAAGCCTGGCCTACAGCAGGCTCCAAAACACTGGCTGATCTGTACGCACGATGTGACTTCACAAATGAGGGGCATGGTGGCATATGCCCGTTAATTCCAGCACTTAGGAGGTGAAGGCAGGAGGAGTTCGAGTCTGAAGTCAGCCTCAGCTACAGAGTGAGACCTACAGTCTCCCATCTTGGGTACTACATCAGGGTGGCTGCTTCTGGAATCTCTTGGGAAGGGGGCTGCTAGGGAAGGGGGCTGTTCTGGTTGCGGATGGATCCTTTCACCCAGGGTCTTGAGTGAGACGGCTGGAAAAGTGTGGGAGGGTAACTGTCCCTGAGAAGGAAGGCAGAGGCAGTTCTGTTTCTTTAAAAAAAACTTGGCAGAAAGGATGAGGCAGGTAATGGCAGGGTGTGCTGCATGCTCTCAGGGTACTGGGGGCCCCTGGAGATGGGAGTGTGGGAGGGCTGAACCCACAAGGCAAGAAACAGCAAGAAAAAAAATGGGTCTGGGACCATGGGAGGTGTCTGAGATCAAAGCAAAGGCAGGAGAGGGTCTTGATGAGATGAGCGGGAAGGCCCAGGAGGCTGGGGAGACCAGGTGGGGGTTCAGAGAGGAAGCAGCCAGCGACCCACAGAGCCCGGGAGCTGTCAGGCCTTGCAGTCTTTGGGGCAAGCCAGAGTGAAGTGGCTTGAAGAGGTGGTGAAGCAGGTACAATAGTTATTTGTCCACACCTGCACTGGTTCCAGAACCCTCTGTGAGAACCAAAGTCCAAGTCCCTCCTCTAAAATGGCATATTTGCCTGGAACCCCCACATTTCCTCTCACACAGTTTAAATCAGCTCTAGGATGCCAGTAACACATCGTACCAAAGGTGTATGTCATAGGAATAGTTGCCACACTCTGCTGTTAAGGGAATAAGGACATGAAGAACATCTGTACAGACTGGATTCTTTCCGGATACTTCTATCTGCAGCTGGCAGTGGACATGGAGGGCTCGCTGTATTCAGTTCTCCCTGGCTGCCAAGAGCGTACACCTGGCCAATTACTGCACATTTAGAAAGTGAAAAGGGCAGGCAGGCACTGCACTGCTGTGCTAATAAAGGGGAGACTTGCCAGCATCCACCTGAGAAAGCCGCTCCTGATAGCAAAGGGCTGACACCCAGGAGGACCTCGCAAGGAGGCTGTGCTGGGCTTTCAATGCTCCTTTGGAAAAGCAGATGTGACCAGGTGCCCAGCAAGGTGCTTGTGCTGACTCAAGAAGGAATGAGGCCTCCATGACAGATTCAAACACAGATTCCCTCACACAGGGGTGTGGCCCTAGTGTTCCATGGGATGAAGTGAGAGGAAGAAACAGGCTGCCATGAGCAGGCAGGGACAGGCCATGAGACAGGAAGAGAGGGGTGGCCAGGCAGGTGGAGAAGGGTGCAGCTATCTTTCAGGTGACCTGGCCTCTCTTAAGATGCCTGGGCCCCTCTCAGGGTGTCCAGCCTTTCTCTGGATGCCCAGCCTCTCTCTGGATGCTCAGGCCCCTCTCAGGGTATCTGGCCCTTCTCTGGATCCCCAGCCCTTTTCTAGATGTCTAGCCCTATCAGATGTCTGGCCTCTCTCAGGGTGTCCAAGCCTTGTCTGGATACACAACCCCTCTCTGGATGCCTGGCCCTTCTCAGGGTGTCTGGGCCATCTCAGGGTACCCTGCTGAGTGGGGCATGTATGGCACAAGCCAAGATGTTCTCAGCCTTAGCACCAAGCCAAGGAGCTTATCAGGGCCACAGACTCATGCCTTACACCCTTGGCAGTGTTATGTAACCCGCCCACTTCGGCACCTAGGATGAAATGGTAGGGGTTCCTGAGAGTCACTATCCACTCTCCCAAAACCTCACAAGAGGTCTCTACTGACATGCCTGGAAAGACAAGCAAAGGGAGGAAAGAGTGATTCTTCAGAAAGTTCTCAGGACCTTGTTTCTTCTGACTGCCATACTCTGTGTCTCCCACATAGCACATGAGCATGTCTTTACTGAGAGCAGACCGTGGCAGGGTGCTGCAGTGGTCTGGGGCGGGGGCAGGGGGGAGGAGGGTAAGACAGACCAGACCATGCTCCAGGGGCAGGGTATGATAGAGATACATGCTAGGAGTGGGCACAGAGCACAGTGGGGATATCAGTGCCAACCTAGTGGGCAGCAAATTGTTCTTGGGAACACCTGAGCAGAAGCCAGAATAAAATGAGGAGCCTGGGCTAGGAATATGACAGGCACACTCACGGCTGGGAATATGACAGGCACACTCACGGTTCAAGGAGGCTGAGAAGGAAGGAGTCAGGGGAAAGAGAGGAGACAGTAGGATAGGTACAGACCAGAATGATCACAGGATGACCAGGATGACCACAGCAGTCCTGGAGCAAGACAGCAGGTACTGGAAAAGCTTTAAGTAGAGAAGTAGCATGTGTGTTTTAAAGGGTTGTACTGGGCAAAGACAGAAGTGGGAGTACATGAAGGAGGCTCCTGCAGGTTTCATAGGAGGAGGGCAGGGAGAATGGGTGTGGACCAGGGACAACGGAGCGACAAAACCTGGGATAAAGGGCTTGCCAAGAGTACAGCTCACTGCTGGCCCCCTAGGACTCAGCACTTCAGCAGAGATTCTGTTTAAGGGAAGGTGATGCCCTCTTCTGGGGCAGGGCTGTTTGTGCCCATGTGGTTGGAATCCTCAGAGCCCTGGCTAGCAACCTAGTCCCAACACCTGCTGTTCTGCAGCCCCTGGCTGGCGCCTCCTTGCAGGAGGCTGGGGTGGGAAGGGTAGAAACACAAGATGGGAGGAACTGGGTTCCTGGCTTCCCCATCTGTAAAACAAGGTGATCTGAGGTGCATAACCAGCAGGAATCTCAGCCCTAGTGGCCCCAAGCTAACAGCAGAGGATTCACAGCTTCTCCTTGCACAATGGTTTGTGTCAGTCAATGACAGGGTGGTACTGGGAGGAAGAAAGAGGAGGCACAGGAAGCAGCTTGAGTTAGAACAACTGAATCTAGCACCTAGTCCCTGACCATGAGGCCTGTGGGACCTAACCTCGAGTGCCTTAGTACTACTGCCCCTGGTGGCATGCTTGGGGAGCCTTGTGACAAAAAGAAAGAGGAGGCTACAGACAAGTTTAGGTCCCATACGGGGTAGCCTGGGCTTCTGCTGGAGGCAACACCAGCTGTCAACCCTCCATCAGCCAACCCACAACCAGTGCTGAGGCTCTATCCATGTGACCTTGACCTAGTGGCTTACCCTGTCTGTTTTCCCATCATTTCACGTCATTTATTCTAAACTTCTAGACCTTCAAAGACAACCAAAGCCACATGGACGCTGGGTAGGCACTCCTGCTGACCCTGGAACGCTCTCAAGGGAGGGACAAGTTGCTCAGGATGGTTCCTTCCTATATAGAGATTCCTCTCATAACAAGCAAGATTCTGGGGAGTCCACGCAATTTTTCTCTCCATCACCAGGTGGCGCACTTGTCCCCAGAACCAGGAAGGGGCGACTCACCAGCTCTGTGGCATCCTGGCCCCGTAGCAGGGGCTTCTCCTCTGGGAATCGCAGTTCCTGCAGCCCCGCCATGGTTATGTCGTGGAGCAGAAGCCCTAGAGAGAGAGCAGAATGTTGAGCCTTGCTTGGAAGCTGCCCAGAGATGGCATTGCAGGCCCAGGGCTCTTGCCCCCAGGGTCTCCCACAGATCCTTCCCCAAGACCTGCTTTAACTCAAAGGAATCATCATAGTATTGTATTTGCTCTTCTCAAAATCAAAGCATGGGGACTGGAGAGATGGCTCAGCGGTTAAGAGCACTGACTACTGTTGCAGAGGACCCGGGTTTGATTCCCAGAACCCACCTGGCGGCTCTGAACTGTTCTTAACTCCAGTTCCAGGGGAATCTGAAGCCTTCTTCTGACCTCGGTGGCACTGCACATGTGTACACTCAAATACATGCAGGCAATACACACATACACATAAAATAAAAATAAAAAAATTTAAAAAGCAAAGCGTGCTTTGCAAAACCTAATTAAAAGCTACACAAGATGATTCCTAAAAATTTCAAGCAAAATCCTGTGTTTATTGTGACGGGGGGGGGGGGGGCCACAGAAGTTCCTTGTGGAAGTTTTAGGACAAGCTGGAGAGAAAGGGAGCAGAGGGCCCTTCCAGGAGGAAGAGGAGGGGATGAGGGGGGCTGGCAGGAAGGGCAATGGAGGAGGGCTTTGGGTATAGACAGGGAGAGGTACAGGCGACCCCGGAGAGCGGATCCCAGGTCCTAATTTCTGAGTGTTCCTGGGTGAGCCAAGAGCTTCTGACCCTCAGTGGAAGAAAGGAGCACACCTGCACAGTGTGTATGCATATATCCTGCGTGTGCAGGAGCCAAGGAGGCTGGGAGGAAGATGGCTTAGTCATCCCATGAAGAGGACTGGCAGTTGCGTCTCTCACTTGGCTATCAGCCTGAGAGAGGCCAGAAAGAACCCAGGGGAAAATAAGCCAAGGACTTGGGCTAGAAATTCATAAAGGAACAAAAACTGGCCAGTCAAGACACAGATCTTCAAAGAAATTCAGATTAAAATAACTTATTTAATAATAAGTTATTTTAATAACTTTTTTTTTCTTTTTGGACAATGGAACCAATAAAGTTTGCTGTGCTAGTAAATAAACACTAAAACTGGATCTTGATCCTCCTCTTCCTCCTCCTTTTTTCCTTTTGGTGGTACTAGGGATTGACTCCAGGGCCTCATACAAGAACCTTATCACTGAGCTGTATCTCCAATCCCAGACTGGCACTTTATTTTGCATTAATAGTTTGTTTTTTTTTTTTCTGGAAGGAAGTTTTACAAAAATGAACTAAAATTACTTAAAGGCTCAAACCATGGGCTGGAGCTATAGCTCAGTGGTAAAGCCAGTACCATATGATTCAGCAATCCCCTAGACGGGAGAAGCTTCCTAAGGAAGCCATAGAAGTGATGAACGGCTTAGCTCAGGGAATGCTCACCACAGTGGCATCTGTGACAGAAAAACTGGGAAAAGCTGAAAGCCCATTGGTCACTGATGCCTATGTTATTTCAGTAACTTAAGATTATTTAACATGGATTAGTCATTGGATCAGTGGGAAAACATTAATAAAACAAGCTATGTCTGACATCTAGAAAAAAAAAAGAAAAAAGATTATTTAACATGGAACAAATGCTGTGTAACAATAAATAAAAAGCAGCCACAGCACCAGTGAGATAGCAGGTAAAGAGGTGTACAGTCTGAAATCAGGGATAAAAGATCCTTTTTTTTTTTTTTTTTTTTTTTTTTTGAGACAGGGTCTCCCTGTAGCTCCAGCTGTCCTGGAACTCACTATGTAGATCAGGCTGGCCTTGAACTCACAGAGATCTGCCTGCCTCTGCCTTCTGAGTGCTGGGATTAAAGGCGTGTGCCAACACACCTGGCAAAAGATCATCTTTTTAGATTTTATTTTTATCTATGTGTATGTGTGTGTGTTTAAGTATGTGCACATGAGTGCAGGTGCCTGTGGAGGCCAGAAGAGGGCGTCAGATTCCCTGGAGCTGGAGTTACAGGTCATTGTGAGCCTCCCAATGTGGGTGCTGGGAATTGAACTCTGGTCCTCTAGAAGAACAGCAAGTGCTCTTAACCACTGGGCCCTCTCTCCACTCCTAAAACAAATGTTTTCAAAAGACTTTTTAAAGATCAGAAACAATTCCTTATTCTTTTTTCAATTATCTTCATCTTTTTATGTGTAAGTGCATAGGTGCACCCATGTCATGCAATGCCCACAGAGATCAGAAGAGGGCATCAGATCCCCTGGAACTGGAGTTACAGGTGGTTGTTAACCACCATGTGGGTGCTGGGAACCAATCACGGATACTTTGTAAGAACAGTCAGTACTCTTAATAACCGAGCCATCGGTCCAGCCCCACAATTCCTTATTCTTAAAGGCATTCCACAGTTCATAAAGTGCTTACTTGTACTTTTTTTTGGTCTTTTTCAGACAGGGTCTCCCTGTAGCCCCAGCTGGCCTGGAACTCACTTTGTAGACCAAGCTGGCCTTGAACTCACAGAGATCTGCCTGCCTCTGCCTCCCAAGTGCTGGGACTAAAGGTGTGTGCTACCACGCCTGGCTGTACATTTTATTTTACCCTGATGAGATATGAGAGGAAAGAGGCTAAAAAGGCTAGAACTGGACTCCCAGTCTGGGGCTCAGCGCTCATGCCACCTTATCTGGAGGATAGAGGGGTGATTTCTGGAAGCCTAGCTTCCCTCCTCCACCCTTTCCTAACTCTGTCTCTAGCATTTCATCACTAGAAGCCCTCAGACTCTCCCCTACCCCCCATAGACAGATGGCCCCCATCAGGTCATCAGAAAATGACCCTCCCCAACCCTGTCTTGTTGGGTCTTCTCTGCCGAAAGACAGTCACTGAAGATAGTCCAAGGGCCCAGGGCTGGGATGGAACCCACGTCTGTGGCAAGGCTCTGTAGTGAGTCTGGCCAGGTGGCCACTGAACCTTCCCCTAGGTTTCTGTCCCTCTCATGTGAGCAAGAAGCACAAGCCCTCCACAGAGCTGCCACAGCTGTGCCTGGTGCCCGTGTCGGATCCCCTCAGCCCTGGAGTCTGTTGGGGAGTTTCCTGGCCTCCCAGTCCTATGGGAACCTCAAGGATAGACATGGAGTCTTGGGTAGACCCTCATCCTCAGCACAATGAGCAGGAGGAGGCTCTGCCATCCAAGTGCTGGATCCCCACACCACCATACCCTGCTACCCCACTGAGTTCTGTTCCCAGCGGTTTCCGAGAAAACTAGCTAACAATGCAGATGGGCTGTATTTTTAGACCGGCATCCTCTCTCCTCCCCCTGCCCTCTTTCCTCCCACCCTCTGCTGTGAGCACACTCATCCACTATGGTGGGAGCTTGGGAAACCTCCTCCGTTAGGACTTTCCTGGCCACCTGCCTCTCAACGGGGCCCCCACCTTGGAAAACCTCCTCCGTTAGGACTTTCCTGGCCACCTGCCTCCTTGGTACCCACTTCAATTCAATATACCGGGGTGTCCTCTCCCCGCCCTGCTGTGAAACCACCTGGAGACTATCCTCCCCAGGGACATGCTTTTAAAAGGGCTGAGAGTGGGCAGTGCCGGGACAGATGGCCTGTGACAGAGGGAATGGCAGGGAAGGGATTGGGAGACCAGCACATCTCTGCCCTTGGAAAATGGGCAGCTCAGCCTGTGCTGGGGCTCCAGGGCAGAGGCCAGAATGACATTCCTCTTAAGGTGGCAGAGAATATTCTTCCTGAGAAAATTATGGATTGTTTCACAACAGTGAGTGCTATGAGGAGAGACTGCAGCTGACCTTCCTGGCAGAGCCTGGCTGAGGTCTAGAAGTAAAACAACATGGTGGGTGAGGGTTGGCCTGGGGCCTGTGAAATGCTCTTTCCCTCTGCTTTCTCCTCCTCTGGATTACTCATCCCCTTAAGGGTATGTAGAGTCTTAAATCCAAACAGGCCTGGGGCGACCCCCAACCCTCCCACTCACTGCTGGTTAGGACATGGCTAGAGTCCCCGCAGTGGTCAGCAACATTCACCATCACTCTCAGCTTTGGGTGGGCAAATCACAGGGAGGCTGGCTGATATGCAGAAGTGCCTCGGCCCCCCGTGCCCACCTTGGTAAGCTTGGAGGATCAACAGAGACACCAGGTGGGCAGGCCTGGGCTGTGGCTCACTGGTTTGGTGTCTGGCCTAAGACAAGCCCTACTTTCTCCACTTCAAGCACCACAAAGGAGAGAAAAGGAAATCTTTATAACCGAATCTTTATAATGGAAAGACTTGTCTCCTACCCAGGTGCTAACCAGGCCCGATCGTGCTTAGCTTCGGATGAGATTGGGTGCATTAAACTTCTGTGCTTCAAACTGGGGCAGAAACAGTTTAACACGATTTGGCAGAAGCTTCCTCACCCTCCCTGCCACTTAGATACTTCTTTCCTGACTGTGTTTCAGGGAAGACTCAAAATCTGCCAGCTGAGATGCTGGGCTCCAGCAGTGTAAGGAAGAGCTGTGTGCCAACATTTTTGCTGCTGGTCTGCGTCTTTAAATGTGGCTCCAATATGAGACTGTGTCATGGGCACCAGCAGATTAAGTAGTGTTAAAAATACAGCAATTAGTCGGGTGTGGTAGAGCACGCCTATAGTCCTCGGGAGACAGACAGGTGGATCTCTGAGTTTGAGGCCAGCCTGGTCTACACAGCAAGTGCCAGGCTCGCTCCCTGGGGCTACAGGGACACCCTGTCTCAAAAAGGCCAAAAAAAAAAAAAGAAAGAAAAAAAACACAGTTAGGGCCAGCTCAGCACCTGCAGCCAAACCTGACAACCCAAGTTCAATCCTGGAACCCCATATGGTGGAAGGAGAGAACTGACAGAGTTGTCAAGTTGTCATCTGATCTCCACATTCATACAGGGGCATGTGCACATGTATGCCTGTCCTAGTTTGTCTCTCCATTGCTATGACATAACACTCTGACCACTACCAACTTGGGGAGGAAAGGGTTTATTTTATCTATATCTCCCAGGTCACAGTTTATCAGGGAGCCCAAAGCAGGAACTCCAGGGCAGGACCCTGGAG